TAAGGCATATTTGACATACAATAAACTATACATATTTAAAGTGTACAATTTTATGTTTTGTCATATGTATACACCTGCAAAGCCATAACCATAACCAAGATGATAAATGTGTCCATCACTCCTGAAATTTCCTCAGTGCTCCTTTTATAATCTTTCTCCTCATCTCTTCTCCTCCCTGTTTTCTTTTAACCCCAGGCAGCAACTACAGATATGCTGTCACTGTAGATTAGTTTGCGTTTTTTAGAATTGTATACAAATGGAATCATACTCTATATACTCGTTTTTGTCTGGCTTCTTTCATCAGCATAATGAATTTTGGTTCATCCTTATACCTGAGTATATCAATAGTTCGTTACTTTCTGTTACTGAGAAGTATTCCATTTGTTTATCCATTCATCTACTGATGAACATTCGGACTGTGTTGTTTGGGGCCATTACAAATAGAATTTCTATGAACATTTGTGTGCAAGTCTTTGTATTGACACACGCTTTCTTTGTTCTTGGGTTAATATCTGGTAGTAGAATGGCTGAATCCTACAACAGGTATATGTTTAAAAAACTGTCAAACTCTTTTCCCGTGGTTGCATCATTTTATATTGCCATCATCAGTGTAGGAATGTTTCAGGTACTCCACATCTTCACCAACACTGATATGGTCATTATAAGTTTAGCCATTCTAATGGACGTTTGTGGCATCTCATTGTGGTTTTAATGTGCATTTCCCTAATGATGAAGGTTGAACATTTTTTAAAATTTTGCTTATTTTCTTTGGCGAAGCATGTGTTCAAATCTTTTGACCATTTTTAAAAATTGGGTTATTTTCTTGTTATTGAATTTTGAGAGTTCTTTATATTTTCTGGATACAAATCTTTTATCGGACATCGTTTGCAAATATTTCTCCCAGTTTGTAGCTGGTCTTTTCATCTTCTTCATTATCTTCTCATAAATGGCAGAAGTTTCCATTTCTGATTATGTCTAATTTATCAATTTGTCTTTTTAGGGATCTTGCTTTCGTTGTTGTATCTAAGAAATCTTTGCCTTACCCAGGGTCACAGAGGTTTTCTCCTATGTATTCTTCTATAAATTTTAGAGTTTTGGTTTTATATTTAGATCTGTGACCCACTTTGAGTTAATTTTTGTATGGACAGAAGTTAACTTTTGCATATGAATACCCAATTGTGACGCAACATTTGTTGGACGTCTATTGACTTTTTAGGTATTCCTCTTTGTATTTTTTTTTAAACTGTTGCTCTAGGCATTTTATTATGCATTCTTAACTTGTCATAGTCCACTACCACTTCATGTAAAATATGAGAATCTTGCAGTAGTATCACTCCATATGCGGCCACTCCATTCTTCATGAATTGTCATATATTTTGCTTCTATTTACGTTATAAAAATCCACAACAAAATGTTATTATAGTTAATTTAAATGATCAATTTTGTTTTAAAGAAATTTAAAACATAAGAAAGGCTTTTCAAAATGTACCCACATATTTACTAAGGGTGGTGGTAGTGACCTCTCTCTGTATAACTGAGTTTCCATCTGTTGTCATTTCTCTTCAGTCTGAAGAACTTCCTTTAAGAATTTCTTGAAGTGAGGATCTGCTGGTTATGAATTCTTTTAGCTTTCTTTTCTCCAAAAAAATTTTTTTAAACCTCATTTATTGAAGGATATTTTCACTGGCTGTTGAATTCTAGGTTGACAGTTTTCTCTCTGTGTTTTATACATACCATTAGATTGTTTTCTGTGAGTAGTAGTCATTCATAATTCTTATCTTTGTCCCCTGACACACAGTGTTTTTCTTTTCCTCTGAATGCTTTATAATTTATCTTTGATTTTTAGTACTTTGTGATATGCTGAGGTACGATTTTCTTAATGTCTTTCATCAGGTTTGGAAAATTCTCAGATACTATTGCTTAAATATTTTTTTCTCTTCTCTCTCCTCTCCTTCTTCATCTCCACTTAACACTGTGTTAGATCACTTTATATTGTCCCACAAGTCACTGAGGCTTTGTTTTTATTTCAAAAATTTTTTTTCATGTTCAGCAATTTGGAAATTTTCTATTGAGCTGTCTTCAAGGTCACTGATCTTTCTTCTGTAGTGTCCAATTTATTTAATAGTAAATTGCTTATCCAGGCGATCTTTTATTTAAGATTTTATATTTTTCAGCTTAATATCCATTGGCTCTTTTTTATTGCTTTTATATATTGACTAAGATTCCCCATCTCTTACATTATAGTTATTCATGCTTTATTTCATATCCTTAAGGATATTTATAATAGGTGTTTTAAAATCCTCATATAGTAATCCTAACATCTGGGTCTTTCAAGATCTGTTTCCATTTTTTCTCCTTGATTCTTTGCAGGTTTAATAATTTTTTATTGCATGCTAGACATTGTAGATGATACATTATAGGGAGAAGTGATTATGTTGTCTCCCTTTAAAGGGTGATAAGTTTTGTTTTGGTGGTATTGAATAGTGACATAATTGGTAGATCTTGATCTAGTCAGACTTTGTTTTAAGGTTTCTTAGAATAGTCTATTACTATTTTTGCCCTAAGTCCTAGGGAATGGCTTTTATTCTAGGACATAAATTTTACTAAGATATGGCTTTTCTAGGGTTTCAATTGGATGCCTGATGTTTTCAGTGAGGAGTGTCCACTCTGGCTGGGCCACAATCCCAGATTCTCCAAACTCTGTGTGCTCGCTAATATCTCTGTTCAGCTCTCAGCTTCCCAGCAGCAGAACTCACAGATTCAGGCTTTGTACCTGTGCTTCTCAGTTCTTGGCCCAGGATCTGAGGGAGTGGCCATCCAGTTTTCTTGGGCCCCAGCTCTGTGGAGCTACCCCTTTCTCTGGCCACGCCCCCACGAATTTTAGCTGCCTCCAAAACACATTCTGAAGAATAGTGGCAATATGGACAGCTCTATCTTATTTCTGATTTTAACAGAAATTTCTTTACTATTTCATTGTTAGCTTCCAGTAAATATTCTATCTTGTTTTAAAATCTTCTATTTTTATTTTACTTAGAGATTTCATCATGAATGCTTACTGAATTATATCAGTTACTCTTTTGTCATATATTGGTACAGTCCTATATTTTCCCCTTAATTTATTAATGGAATAAATTATGTTGATAAAATTCCTAATGCTCATTCTTAGGTTTCCGAAATAAATCCTTATTTTATACACTGATAGGTATGCTTTTCAATTTTTCAAGCCTTTAACATTTAAATGAATAAAACAGAATAATAAGCTTTAAAATACAGGGTGCTTAAAAGAAAAAAGGACAAATACTTCTTAAATTTCAGTCACTTTGCCTTAAACATACAAAGGCAAGTTGATTATTAACAGTTAAAAGAAATTTATACTGTGTCTCTCTACTTGTGCTACTAAGACAATTACATTCAGCTTTCTTGAAGTATAATTGATGACAACTGCACGTTAAAGACAATTGTCTTTGATATTGTGAAAAGAATTTAGCTACCACTTACGAACCAAGTGACCTTGTTTAACTCACCCTCTCAGAGCTTGTTACCTTCTCTGTAAGATGGGGGTGGAAATCACACCTACCCTGCAAGGTTAACGTGAGCATTAAGTGTGATGATGGGTGGGGGTATGTTTTGAAAGTGCTAAGCTGTTGGTGGTGGCTTTTTTTTTCTTTTCAGAATTGCTCTACTGTATTTCTTTTCCCTCCTTTTCCGCCTCTTTTAAAACATTAAGACTTCCGTGTGTTTTTAAAAGCAATTTAAAGTTCACAGTAAAATTGAGATGGAGGTACAGAGATTTCCCATATACTTCCTGTCCTCACACATGCATAGCTTCCCCATTATCAACATTCCCCCACCAGAGTGATGCAGTTGTTACAGATGATGAACCTACATTGATACATCATAATCACCCAGAGTCCATCCTTTACCTTAGGGTTCACTCTTGGTGTTGTACATTTTGTGGGTCTGAACAGAAGTATAATGACATGTATCCACCATTATAGTATCATACAGAGTATTTTCACTGCTCTAAAACTCCTCCGTGCTCTGTCTATTCATCTCTCTCTCTCCAAACCCCTGATAACCACTGTTCTTTTATTGTCTCTTTAGTTTTGCCACGGAGTTGGGTTTTTTAATTAATTAATTAATTAATTATTGGCTGCGTTGGGTCTTGGTTGCGGCAAGCGGGATCTTTTCGTTGCAGTGCGTGGGCTCTTCATTGCGGTAGCAGAGCTTCTCTAGTTGTAGCGTGCACTCTCCAGAGCACGTGGGCTCTGTAGTTACAGCATGTGGGGCTCTCTAGATGTGGCACATGGACTAAGTTGCCCCGCGGCATGTGGGATCCTAGTTCCCAGACCAGGGATCGAACCGGCGTCCCCTGCATTGCAAGATGGATTCTTAACCATTGGACCACCAGGGAAGTCCCTGCCATGACTATTCTTTATTACCTGTGGTCCCCAAGGACTACACAGCTGACATGGGACATTCCTTGTTAATGAAAGGGCGGTAGAAAGATTCTCTCTTGAGCCTTGTTGTCACTGTCCACTATTGGATTTACTGTCCTGGCTGCTGGGCAGGACCCCCGAGGGTAATGTTATTGTTTGGAGAGGCGTAAAATGGAAGAAGAAATCCACTCTCACTTCCTGAAAAAGAAGGAAAAAAGGAAAAGGGAAGAGAAAATTCATTTGTCCCTGAGAGGAAAAGGAGGAAAGAAATTTAAAGGAAATTCACTTCTGAAGACTAGGACTGTAGCAAAAGCAGAGCTCTCACCCTGCTTCCAATATCCCCGTTAGGACTATTTCATTGTTTTTCCTAAAGAAATAATGGGAAATGATTTTAATACTCAAATTCAACTACCTTAACATTTAAATAAATTTTTAGAGGCAGGCTTGGAAACCTAACCATCTAAAGAATTTTTTTTAATGCATTGTATATTAAACAAGCATACAAACAAAAACCTTGCAAAGACGTTTTGTAACTTAATTCACCTTTCTGTCTCTACCCAGATGCTTCATATACACCTCATCAGCTCAAGCTCGAAATGCCTAAAGACATGACAGCAATGCTTATGAAGGGTTCTATTGAATGGCTGAAGAATGCCGATCAGACATCAGGATGTATAGCAGAGGAAAGCAGCTGTTCTGTTCTGGAGCCATGGAAATGCTTTGGAATGGTTTTCGAGGAACAGTCAACAAACCTCCAGGTGAGTGTCAGATACTCAGGGCTGCCCTGACCCCAGACAATAAGAGTAATGGAGAGTTGTGGACAATTTCAGAGTTGAGGGTGTCCAGAGAAAATCCCAATACGGCTACCCTTTGGCTAGGTGGCCAAAGTTTTACATGTACCAAAACATATTGAACAAATGTGCACATATACCCTCAGCTTGTGACTCTGGGCAGTAAAACTATTAAATTGCAATATTAGGACTCAAGTATATTCACTTGAACTAATTTAACTTACGTTTCAGATAATGAGTCAGTTAAGTTCCTGGAATTTCGCTCCTCTTATTTTTCTTTCTTCTGAATTTAAATCCTCGTTCACCTAAGAGATTTCAGTTTTCTGGGAGATCTGATTTGTCTAAAATAGATGTAAAAAGAAGCCCTCTATATTTATAACCAGACCAGAGCATGGTCAGTGGTGAGAGAAACATCCCCATGGTTCAACTCTATAGCCCTGAAGACAGCTAAAAGAGAATTTGGGTTGATAGGCAGCTATCTGTTGATGGAATGATGCACTTAGAAGATCTTCTGCTTTCCATTTGTAATGTTATCTGTTTGGTTGGTAGCCAGTTTGTTGTGTTTCGGGAAAAATTCTGCAGAGATAAACATATGCTTCCATGTTGTCATTCTTCTGGTTTCCACAATCCAGGACATAGGCCTGCCCACTATTTCATTTATCTCCCTTTGGAGACTCAAAATTGATTTATTAAGTTGACTTAGCTTGGGCTGATGCAAAGAAAGGTCAAAAATTGTGATGGAAAAAGGATTCAGAAATAATGGTGGAAAAAGGATTAAACAAAGCAAGCAAATCAAGATGGCAGGAGAAAAGGAAAAAAAAGGAAGAAGTGAAAATGATGATTGATGTTGATGTTGCTGTTTTAACTGAGAAATTTAAAGGCTGCAAAACATTGAGAAATCAGATTAATGACCTGGAAAATAAACTCAGATTAAGAAATGTCAGATTGGAGGATAATCCTGATGGGGTAGAAGTAGGAGAAACAATGACTGTTCCCCGCCCTTACCGCACCCCCACATAAAACATTGCAAAACTACTTTGGGTGAATAATTTTTAATTCCTTCCACAAGCCATATCTTAATTTCGCTAAAGCTTGATGCCGTGACAGAAATCTGTAGTTTATATGTGAGATGAGAAATTCTTACAGGGAAAAGATAAATATCTTAACTTCCTTTGGCCTCTGATGACTTTTTGTTTCTGTGGAGAAGCTGACAGAGCTACTGGCTTTGATTGTTTTTGATTATGTAGGGCTTAAACCAAAGTTGTTAAGGGTACTAAACAGTATGAGTCAAATGCTTATCTGGCTAACTCCAATTATCATAATTAAGTCACCTACTCCCTTGAACTATTATCTTGATAAGTATCTTTTCAAGATTGTGCTGAATCAAAAGAATTTTTGAATAGTAAAGAGAAAAGTATTTTAGAGAGGATGTGAGAGGCAAAACAGTTTCTTTGTTCCTGATCCTACTTGGAGATTCCCAGAAATTGTTCTAGAGTCACAGTGGCTGAACGGCCTTTTTTATTAATGGGACTGGGTGTGGTGCATAATTATTACACAAATAATAGATAACAGTTGTTGAACGTCTACTCTATGCCAGACATAGTTCTAAGTGCTTTATATGTATAAATTCAGTTGGTCTGCACTACAATCAAAAGTGGTAGGTATGGGACTTCCCTGGTGGTCCAGTGGTTAAGACTCTGCACTTCCAATGTTGGGGGCACGGGTTCAATCCCTGGTCAGGGAACTAAGATCCCACGTGCCATGCAGCACCACCAAAAAAAAAAAAGGGGGGGTAGGTATGATTAGTGTCTCCATTTTAAAGATGAGAAGAGCGAGCTGAAGAGTTAGATCATTGCCCAGGTCACCCAGCTCTTACAAAAGAGGCAGGATTCGTATTCAAGTTATCCTGGCTCCAGAATCCACCTTTTCAACCACAGTACTGTGGTTCTAAGTTATTTAAAGACACTGGGATTTTAAAAAATAATCTATTTCTGGCCATGGGTGTAAAAATATATTCATGTATCCCAGGAACAGTTTTGTTAGCAAGAGGAAGTCTCTTTTTTGTTACCCGTTCATTTTAAGTCAGTTTAAATACAAAACAAGTCAGAGTTTTTGCACCGCCAAAAAGAGTACAGTAAGATGTGGAGAAAGCCAGAGAGGCATGTGTTCAGAGGGACTTTGTGTTACCTTCCTGACCTAAATGGGATCAAGGTTGATATTTTCCTTTTTAAAAAAGATGGAGCTAAAATTTAAAGAACTGATTTTTCTTGTTTTAATTCATTTTATTTCCTTTGACATTATGGCCTGTTTAAATTACACAGCAGCTGTGAGTGGTAAAAGAAATGCTTCAGTTCAGAGCAGAGAAGAACGAGCATGTTTTAAACCATGGAGTCAGAAGGTGAGAAACTCCCAGGTTACCAGGAGCAGAGCTACTCTCAGAAGAATGGGATGAGTTGGTGACTACACCCCTCAGTGCAACAGGAAGCGCAGTGTCTCCCAACATGATGGATCTCTCAATACCACAGCATTGGAAAGAGCCTTTGTTTTTTTCCACCCAAGGGATCATTTTGAATAGTCTCTCAAGATGGTTGAAGAGGCTATAATCTGGTCAATGTTCCTCAAAGTGTGGAGAGTACCCGTGAGGCAAAATAGAGAAGAGATTGGAAGCAGAGTGGGAGAGACGAGCCTCACTTCCAACCCATCCACTACTACACCCATCACTTTTTTCTTCATGCCTTGCAAGGTATGATGTTGCTACCAAAGTGCAAGAAAGTGTCTTTGTGAGTTTGAGAGCTCAAACAGGTGAGGGGGAAAGGCACCTAAAGTAACAGTGGTAAGAGTTTAGAAACAATATTAAAAGCCGTGGAATTACATCAAAACTCAGTAGGATGGAATTCCATCAAAAGTACTCATCTTGGAGCCCACTCCTTAGAGCCGAAGGAAGGCTTAGCTTAGATCTCTATTTTCTACATTTATATTAGGAAAAAGGTATGGTTTCTTTCTTTTTACAATGTTTCCTGGCTACAGAAAAAATAAATTCCTCAAAATTTTGCGTGCAGAGAGATCGATTACATGACTTTAAGAGTTATCTCTTCTCCAAAGAGAAGGTGTCCTTGCAATTTTATTAATTAATTTATTTGTGATATCATAGGTTAAGCCCGTATTTAATGAGAATGCTGATGGATGAAGCCATGACCGTATGGTGATTATTACAGTGGACCAAGATTCCAGATTTTGTGCTTGAAGACGCGGGCAAAGCAGGTACAAGGTCTCTCAGCAGATATTTTTATTTGTGAAATGGGACAACACTTCTGGTTGCTTTTCAGTGGTGAGGATTAATGCAGTGCATGGCACTTGGCTTGACAACCTGTGAGTAGAGATTTGAGGACTTAGGTGCTGCAATGAGCACGGCATTATTATCACTTGTACTTTTCTAAATTACGGAATTATTTGAGCGGCTCCGACTGCAGATTGCACGTGAAGCCTCTGAAAGGCATTTTACTTCATGCTTTCTGGGATGGTAAAATTGTGATCAACTTTATGCAGATCCAAAACAGAGAGTAGAGTTTGGGTTAGATTTCGTATGAGACACGAGAGTTTGGATGACCCTCATTTTCAACGTAGTCAATAAAATGCCAATTTACAACTGAGATGAAGAACTAAAATTCTACTGAAGATTTATCTTCTTACAAGGTGTAGTCTGTATATATTTTCCAAAATTATGTGCTTTATGATTTTGTCATAAAATTAATGCCCATTCATTCAAATATAGAAAAATAGAAATAAATGTGTCTCTCTTAAAGAGTCAAGTACCTTGACCAATTTCACAAGCAGTGAGAATGGAAGCCGAGTTAGGAACCCAGGGAGTCTGATTTCCAATCCAGTGCTATCTTTGCAACGTCACAGTTTAGAGTTTAGCTAATTTAGTATTTTGCTTTTTGTTTTCACTTAACATTGTGCCAAAAGCATATTTGACGTAAAACTTTCTTAGGGGGAGGTATAACATTCTATCACGTACACCAACAGTGTTTTTGAACATTTTTAAAAGTATCTTGCGAATGTCAGTATTCGGGGTGAAGATCAAGGGTTCTGGAAGGTTCGCACTGTGTGTCTGCACCCGGCTGGAAACACAGGCTTACACAACAGCCTTGCCCTCCTCACACCTGGCTGGGGTTTTGCAGAGCCAGTAGGAGGAGGCGATGACCACACCTGTCTTTATTTCTAGGAAGTCAGACAATGGCTTAGGAGATTTTACTTGGGAGGGAGAAAGAACATTTAAGAGGAATATTTAAATCATAAGAGAAAGAAATGGAAACTTGTTTCTTGGGGATTCGCTGAAGAAAGAAAGGAGAAAAATCCCATCTATCCAGCATGGTTAAAGTGGCCCTTTGCACTTAGATGAATGTATCAGGGTATAAATTAGTTGTTTCTACACTTTAGATCTGAAGGGAATGGAAAAAAGTCAAAAAACAAAACAAAGCAAAGAAAAAGGATAATTCACCATAATACTCTCAAAAGCCAAAGTTGACTAACACTAGCGCCCAGGTTATTCTAAGACGTGGATTTTCTGATGACAGGACTGGGAACCCTCCGTTCCTCCTAGGTGTCCCCTCGACCTCCCGGGAGGCCTTCCGCCCACTGCCACTCTGCTCTCTCCCAGGAAGCTGTTGGCTATTCCTTCATCTGCTCTTTTCTGGGCTCCCCAGTTTCCTTCCAGCAGATCACTCCACTCCAACAAACATACAAATGTTCCTTGTCATGGATACACGTCCTATGTAGATTTACTCTATAGTTAGTGAAGTAGCAGACTCATTTTATAGTTCATAAACTAAGTTTGGATTCATGCTCAACCTTGCTACCAAAGCTTTTGCAGCTAAGAGCTGCAGCTCACATCACGTGCCCTGAGTTGCCCCTACCTCTGTGCCTATCACCCATCAGCGAGATCTATTTTCTCTGCAGAAGCACATGCATTGCCCCACGCCGACAGTCACTGGTTTTAGCATTGGCTAATCACCAATACCGTTGTGTTAAGTGAGATTCATAGATGCTGATTGCATTTATTGCATAAATTACTTCATTATTAAAATCAGGTCATTTGAGTCCCCAAACCATTAACATGAAGGTTATTAACATAATTTCATAAGCTAATAAATCAAGCACAGGAAAAGAATTAAAGGGTTCTTAGTGATAAGTGTTTCTTCAGAGATTAAGGAACACAATTTTCTTACGCATATATTAACATTTTACGAGTGGGTTCTTGCAAGAGCAGTTTTTTCTCTCTCCATACGTGACTCACACTCTGTCTTCTTCATACTTGGCCTCTGAAACTCATTTTCAAAATTAAGGTGGTTTTTTTTTTTTCCTTTTCAAAGAACTATAAAGCAGTTTTCTTTTTTTGATGATGAATGTGTAAGAATACATAGAAATTTTATTTTTTAATATCTTTATTGGAGTATAATTGCTTTACAATGGTGTGTTAGTTTCTGCTCTATAACAAAGTGAATCAGCTATAAATGTACCTGTATCCCCATATCTCCTCCCTCCTGCATCTCCCTCCCACCCTCCCTAACCCACCCCTCTGGGTGGACACAAAGCACCGAGCTGATCTCCCTGTGCTATGCGGCTGCTTCCCACCAGCTATCTATTTTCCATTCGGTAGTGTATATATGTTCGTGCCACTCTCTCACTTTGTCCCAGCTTACCGTTCCCCCTCCCTGTGTCCTCAAGTCCATTCTCTATGTCTGCGTCTTTTTTCCTGTCCTGCCCCTAGGTTCTTCAGAACCTTCTTTTTTTTTTTTTTTTTAAGATTCTATATATATGTATTAGCATACAGTATTTGTTTTTCTCTTTCTGACTTACTTCACTCTGTATGACAGACGCCAGGTCCATCCAACTCACTACAAATAACTCAATTTCGTTTATTTTATGGCTGAGTAATATTCCATTGTATATATATGCCACATCTTCTTTATCCATTCATCTGTCGATGGACACTTAGGTTGCTTCCATGTCCTGGCTGTTGCAAATAGAGCTGCAGTGAACATTGTGGTACATGACTCTTTTTGAATTATGGTTTTCTCAGGGTATATGCCCAGTAGTGGGATTGCTGGGTCACATGGTAGTTCTATTTTTAGTTTTTTAAGGAATCTCCATACTGTTCTCCATAGCGACTGTATCAATTCCCACCAACAGTGCAAGAGGCTTCCCTTTTCTCCACACCCTCTCCAGCATTTTATTGTTCGTAGATTTTCTGATGATGGCCATTCTGACTGGTGTGAGATGATATCTCATTGTAGTTTTGATTTGCAGTTCTCTAATGATTAATGATGTTGAGCATTCTTTCATGTGTTTGTTGGCAATCTGTATATCTTCTTTGGAGAGATGTCTATTTAGATCTTCTGCCCATTTTTGGATTGGGTCGTTTGTTTATTTGATATTGAGCTGCATGAGCTGCTTGTAAATTTTGGAGATTAATCCTTTGTCAGTTGCTTCATTTGCAAATATTTTCTCCCATTCTGAGGGTTCTCTTTTCATCTTGTTTATGGTTTGCTGTGCAAAAGCTTTTAGTTTCATTAGGTCCCATTCGTTTATTTTTGTTTTTATTTCCATTTCTCTAGGAGGTGGGTCAAAAAGGATCTTGCTGTGATTTATGTCATAGAGTGTTCTGCCTATGTTTTCCTCTAAGAGTTTGATAGTGTCTGGCCTGACATTTAGGTCTGTAATCCATTTTGAGCTTATTTTTGTGTATGGTGTTCGGGAGTGTTCTAATTTCATTCTTTTACATGTAGATGTCCAGTTTTCCCAAAACCACTTATTGAAGAGGCTGTCTTTTCTCCATTGGATATTCTTGCCTCCTTTATCAAAGATAAGGTGACCATATGTGTGTGGGTTTATCTCTGGGCTTTCTATCCTGTTCCATTGATCTATATTTCTGTTTCTGTGCCAGTGCCATACTACCTTGATTACTGTAGCTTTGTAGTATAGTCTGAAGTCAGGGAGCCTGATTCCTCCAGCTCCGTTTTTCTTTCTCAAGATTGCTTTGGCTACTTGGGGTCTTTTGTGTTTCCATACAAATTGTGAAATTTTTTTGTTCCAGTTCTGTGAAAAATGCCATTGGTAGTTTGATAGGGATTGCACTGAATGTGTAGATTGCTTTGGGTCGTATAGAAATTTTCACAAAGTTGATTCTTCCAATCAAAGAACATGGTATATCTCTCCATCTGTTTGTATCATCTTTAATTTCTTTCATCAGTGTCTTATAGTTTTCTGCATACAGGTCTTTTGTCTCCTTACGTAGGTTTATTCCTAGATATTTTATTCTTTTTGTTGCAATGGTAAATGCAGTGTTTCCTTAATATCTCTTTCAGATTTTTCATCATTAGTGTATAGGAATGCCAGAGATTTCTGTGCATTAATTTTGTATCCTGCTACTTTACCAAATTCATTGATTAGCTCTAGTAGTTTTCTGGTAGAATCTTTAGGATTACCTATGTATACTATCATGTCATCTGCAAACAGTGACAGCTTTACTTCTTCTTTTCTGTTTTGGATTCCTTTTATTCCTTTTTCTTCTGATTGCTGTGGCTAAAACTTCCAAAACTATGTTGAATAATAGTGGTGAGAGTGGGCAACCTTGTCTTGTTCCTGATCTTAGTGGAAATGGTTTCAGTTTTTCACCATTGAGAACGATGTTGGCTGTGGGTTTTTGATTTATGGCCTTTATTATGTTGAGGTAGTCTCCCTCTATGCCTACTTTCTGGAGGGTTTTTATCATAAATGGGTATTGAATTTTGTCGAAAGCATTTTCTGCATCTATTGAGATGGTTTTTATCCTTCAGTTTGTTAATATGGTGCATCACATTGATTGATTTGCATATATTGAAGAATCCTTGCATTCTTGGGATAAACCCCACTTGATCATGGTGTATGATCGTTTTAATGTGCTGTTGGATTCTGTTTGCTAGTATTTTGTTGAGGATTTTTGCATCTATGTTCATCAGTGATATTGGCTTGTAGTACTCTTTCTTTGTGACATCTTTGTCTGGTTTTGGTATCAGGGTGATGGTAGCCTTGTAGAATGCGTTTGGGAATGTTCCTCCATCTGCTATATTTTGGAAGAGTTTGAGAAGGATAGGTGTTAGCTCTTCTCTAAATGTTTGATAGAATTCACCTGTGAAGCCATCTGGTCCTGTGCTTTTGTTTCTTGGAAGATTTTTATACACAGTCTCAATATCAGTGCTTGTGATTGGTCTGTTTATATT